AGATGCTCGAATGGTAAGTTCAGATTGGGCACAGCCGCAATCTTCTGCCACTCCGTGAGCCAGTCCCGTGTTGCTGTGTTGCCCTGTGACATGGTGAACAGTCGGTTGATGGCGAGTGTTGGCGCGTCGTCGACGATGAACCACTTCTTCCACAGCCGTGTCAGTTCCTCCCATGTGATTACGTCCTTCAAGTCTGGTACGTCGACGCCGTGGGAGGCTGCCAGGTGGGTCAACTAGGTCTGGCATCCGCCCTTTGAGTTCAGGAACAGGGCGCCGATGTACGCATGCTTGTCTACGGGCAGAATCCTGAGTTGCGTTGTGAATGTTTCCCACCAGAGGACCGGATCCTGCGGCGTGTAGTCGTCGAACCTCTCCAGAGTGAACATTGGCATCTTATACATCTTCGGATTGTCATTTGCATTCGTCGTCTGCAGCTGCTGGACCTCGGTCTTCAATGTATGCAGCTGGCTGCTGATGGTGGTGGTCGGCGCAGCGAAAGTGCTGATGTCGCCGAGCATTGCCACTACGTGGTCAACGCGGTCCTCCAGTTGGCGGCTAGAGGATGCACTGCTGGAAGCCCCAGCAGCTGGTCCTGGTACAGCCTGTTCCAGGTCCAGCAATCGGGCATTGAGTGCCCAAGTTGCATCCTCGTGGCTCTGCACCATGTGGCGGAGCTGTGCCAACTCCTGATGCTGTTGCGTCAGGTCCTGGTACTGTCTCTCCAACTCTGACCGTTGGTAGTTGCAAGCAACAACAACCGCGTCACGAGTTTGGAGAGGAACTCCTTGTGCTTCTCTTCCGGTGTTGCCTCGTCGCCGTTCGGTTCAAAATGTCAGTACTTGAGTCTGTCGATGTTGTTGGCTTCATGTCGCTGCAGCAGATCCTGGGCTTCCTTGCGGCGAGCCTGGGCATCTGCGTCTGCATCGGCCTGTAGCCGCAGCTGTTCTGCTTCTGCTGCCTCTTCAGCCTGTACGCGGGCAGCCTCGGCTGCCAGCAGGCGTTGTTCCTCAGCCTCAATCTGAGCATGGAAACGCTGCTTGTAGGCGGCAAGGGACTCGTTGGGCAGTTGCCCTGGCAGGCCCGTCATGTTGCTGACGTGGCACTGCTGACGTGGCACTTTGTCTTACGTGGCACTGTGTCTGACGTGGCATTGCTGATGTGGCACTGCTTACGTGGCACTGTGTCTGACGTGGCACTGCTGATGTGGCACTGCTTACGTGGCACTGTGTCTGACGTGGCACTTTGACCTGGCACTGCTGACGTGGCAGTACTGATGTGGCACTGTGACGTGGCACTGCTGACGTGGCACTGTGACCTGGCAATGTGACGTGGCACTGCTGATCTGGCACTGTGACGTGGCGTTGCTGACGTGGCACTGTACCGAACCGGGATGCATGCAAGGGGTGGG